CTTGTCCTTTTGGGCTTTTTCTAATCTCATTGGACTCTACTTATCGGCAAAATATCGGCTTAAAAGCTTTGAATCACTTCGAACGGTTCCCTCGTTAGTGGTAATGGTTGTGATTTCTGACGATCAACTTATACAAGAATAGAAGCAACCAACAAATTTCAAGTAAATGAAAAAAACAAACTTGCAAACTTCTAAATCTATTAATTTAATATATTTTTAGGTTATTTTCGAAGGTGTAGTTGATCCAAGTTATCTTCGTGATATTTCAATTGATAATATTTCTATTCCATCAGATCCATCTACTGCTCATGATTCATGCACATTTGAACAAGATTAATGTGTTTGGACACCATCTAATGGAAAAGATGATATTGATTGATATTGTTTATCATCAAAATAAATAAGTTTATTATATAATAGAATAGATTATCCATTAACTGATACAACAATAAATAATACCTATGGACATTTTCTTTGTGCAACATCTAATTTTCAATCAAATCGTATTGATCAATCATTATGTCTTTATTCTGAAACTCTTTTAACTTACCAATATCAAAATGGTGCATGTTTAATATTGAATTCTTTTCTAATTGGTTCATCATCATTAAGAGTTTATTCACGTGCACGACCACTTGATCAAAATTCTTCATTATTATGGCCAATTGGTGGAGTACGGAGGCGGATCATTTATTAAGACACACCCACACCCACACACCCTTGTAATGAAGTATTAAAAGAAAATTAAAACGCATAACTAGAATGTATGAGAAAAGTAAATCATATGGAACATTGTATGACTATACTTTTTAATTAGAGATTAGATGAATTTATTTGCTATTTGTGTTTATCCAAACATTTATTTGGATTTATTTTATTTGTAATTTTTTCATTTAAAAATGTCTTACTTTTTTTCATAATTAGTATCTTCATCTAAATTAATTCAATTTTTTTGTTGAGTGTGAGTGTGAGTGAGCGATAGACATCTATATTCTACACTATGATCACCACTTACGAGTAGCGAAAGCCACATATTCAATTTTGAATGAGACCGTACAAACTCGTAAATGTATCTTTGGTTATCTCGACCTATTCGTTTTTATTCTTGACAATAAGAAAAATAGTACAGTTTAATTGATTGCATAATATATATGGCATGCAGAAGCATATGAAATCTCGTTTAAACCCTTGAAAAATTCCATAATTATTTTAAAGTTGAATGAAATTTATACGAAATACTTGATACAAAAAGAAAAGAAAAATTTTCTTCATAATTCCTGTCTTTCATTGACAAGCATCGAAAACTTATACACGATATGAAATGGAATAATGCATGATTTCTTTTCTTATTATATCAAAAGAATAAGAAAACGTTCGAAATTAAGCGTAGTACGATGAAAAACCAAGAGTAGAAAGTTAACTTGAAATGAAGGAAAGGACAGAGGTAAGAAAGGCAACAATGATCAATTAGATCAACTGTCATTATAATAGTTATTATATTTCACTCGTAGTCGATAGTACAGATACTGGTAATTTCTAACAATAGGAAAAGCTTCAACTTTCCTTTTCCTTCCTGAAAATAAAAACAAAGTGAAAGTACCACTCCTACTCATTTTATAGAAAATTGTATAATTGTAGTCTTATTTAAAACAATATGCTTGATTGAATTGAAATAGTACGTTAGAAACATTATGAAATACTTTCATGTAATTGCCTCACTGACCTTACTGTTGTCGATAATATTGATGCTAAATAAATATCGGTTAGTGAGATATACTTGCTATGAAAATTTAATGAACGTTGACAACAATGTGCACAACCATTTAAAGAAGGATTTATTGAAAAAGTTGAAAATAAAGAAATTAAATTAATAGAAAGAGAAAAGTAGTTCAATAAATAAACTCTTTAATAAATCTTGTCGAATGTTTCTTGTATTCTATAATTTCTTTCAGATAAATGAATAATTAACAAGTCTTTTAAAAACAAAAAAGATAGATGTGTTGAAATATGTCATATAGTTGAACAAGAAACCAATTTATTTAAAAACAATGAAGAAAGGCACAGAAAAAGAAATAAACTTGCATATTAATTCATTATTCTATGAAAGCCGTCATGTTATTTTACGTTTCCCATGATAAACCCATTATAACGGATGACTGGTAAAGATTAGTCACTCAAAAAAACTGTCGACTTCGTTCTTGAAATAAATTTTTCTTGTCGCGTAAAAATCAAAAAGATTGATAACCACTCAGCCATTGAACTGCGACTATTAGAAAACAAAACAATTATTAAAAATATGTTTAAATAATAGTTTCGTCGAAATTCGAAATATGCTGCTAGATACCCCGTAAAATACTACATCTCACAATGTTCTGCAATTTTAGAAAAAAGAAACATTTCAAAGAACAGTTTTTCAAGCAACAATTAGAAAACGTCGTAAAACTCTTTCCGGCAGTTCTATACCGTTGTTTATTATAATTCGGGACAATCTACGGAATTTTATTGTTCGATTTAAATATTGCATCATTTTGCTCAGAATTAAATGCTGCATCCAATGATATAATAATAAACTGTTCATAAAGCATGTTAATTGTTGAAAATACGAGTTTCGAAAGCACAGTCAAAACAAAATACTGCTAGGTTTGAGTATAAAATTCTCTATCTATTGACGCTAAGTATTTAACATATTGCATCGAGCTCAATGAGTACAAGCTCGCACAAATCGTTAGATGTCTCCAAAGCATTCCAGAAGATCGTAGTTGGACAGGAAAGCAGCCATCAATCTTTCTAATTTTTCCTCGACAAAAAAAAATCTATTTAAAAACGAAGTCTATATTTTTGTAGAATGAAAAATTCTCTACCGAATGAGTTTAGAATGTTGCTATTAAACAGTGCTTTCGTTCTTCAAAACCAAAAAAATTAAACTGTCTCATTATTTATGGATCACCTACTCGTTAGATTATCTGCGAAATAGAGAATAATTTTCTCTATGAAAAAATGTCAATCTCACATTCGACCACTTCAACACTCACGGGGCGCCACAAACCAGTTCATTTGATATTAATTGACTGACTTGTTAGACATTTTCTATTGTGCGGATATTTTTGTTATTTTTCTTGTCTTCACTTGAATATACTATATGCTCAATTGCCAAATATCTCATTCACTTTTTTTAGATTTTATTTTTCGTTTTGCTTTGCTCTGTAATAGATTTGTAAGGATGTGAGAGAGAAATGAAACATGAAGAACAGTAAATCGATACGTATACGAAGTAATAGTTAGTTATTAGTTTATTTTCAGAAATAAAATAAAAAAGAATATCCATACGATTTTGTTTATTTTAAATGAGATAATGAGTACTGATATTAACAATTACACAGCTACTTGTGTCTTGTTTAAAGTTCCTATTCGCCATGAAAATGTAAAAACATCATTAGAACCTCTTCAACAACATATTGAATATGATCATCAATATAATTATAATACAAATGATTTAAATATAAAATAAAAAATAATTGTTGTTAAATATAAATCTGGTCGACAAGTGCAATCCCAAGATACCAAAAGATATGGATGCAACAGCTACAATTGAAATTCATACTGATAAACAATATGATCAACAAGCGGTTTTTGAACGCGCAAGAAAATCAATGAAGAATTAAAAGGAAAATTAGTCGATAGAATTGATCGTCTTGTTACTAATTATCAACAATTTTGTGAGGAAAAAAGATATTACACAGAAAAATGCAAGTAGTCGTCTTGTTCGAAGTAAAGGTGAGATATAGTTTTATTCATCTTTTCCTTTAGGAGAGACAGTGATAGGACATCTCAAAAATATCATTTTTCATCAGATGAGAAAGGGAAGGAGTTAAACATGATTTGAACTAGCCGTTTTTTGGTCGCTATGCTGTTTCGAAAGAGTGTGGGTTTGAGGGAAATAACAAACACTCACATTCATATTCTCGTATGGTTGATGCTGAAGAAAAATGTTAACAAAATCAAGATTCATTGTCTAGTATTCTTTTTTTTCTATTTGATTTCATCTTTTGTTATTGTTGTTATTGTTGATCAAACAAAAATTACTCTCACAGCTTGAACAATACTTTCAGTGGACAATAAAGTTTTATGAAATGAATAATAATAATATTAACTAATTCATTTCACCCCGCCATCTTAGCTGCTATTTAGTACTTATAGACTAATGTCTTTCACTTAACATCAAAAATTTTGCTCGGTGGTCTTCCATTGTGCTTAGATCTGTTGCTGTTTCGTTGCATTCAAACTCAGTTCATAATCCGAAACAACAATTGCTGCAGTGAAATTTGCGAATTTTCTTGCTGCTGAAAAATCTTTTCTTTAAGGCCTCCCCCCCCCTCAAAAAAAGTCAAATTTCGTCAAATTTTTCGAAATTG